TTAATACACAAGGCATTAGACTTGCAGACAGAAAGAATATGTACACACACTGCACCTGTTTGATCTCCACAAAACTGGTGATAGCCATTCACTCGTTTATTTCTCAGGGCAGTTCCCTGATCAATCAGAGTTAACGTGCCTAGTTTAAAATTTAAACAATACTTGACTGCTAACTATCAATCAGCATTAATGGGTGCCTTCTCCATGGCGATGCCTCTACCTCTCAGACAAACAATTGGTACTCTCAAAATGCAGCTTAAATGTCAGTTTTCCCCTTAAGTTTTATTCTTGAGAAATGTCCTGATGAATGCAAGATGAAAAGCTTCCTGTGTCTTCTTTCACCTATAACTATTAAGAGCTTGTTAATTGTGTCAGTGACTGTTTTCTTCTACTTTTAGATGGAAAATAATCCTAAATAATAATTTCAATTAAACTTATCTTGTGAAAATTACTGAGGGCCCTTTTAGAGTTCAAATCATACAGAATTATATTTTGCAAATTAGACTTGTGTCTACGTTTCCGTGTAGCTGATTTTGAAGTATGGTGATTACTGCTAATAAAATATAACTTCTTAGTGAGCTGGAAAGTTGGAGACTGCTTTTTGACCTCAGTAACATGAGTCCGATCAAGTCAAAATCACTTAATTGAAATGCCCTCCTACCCAACAAAATAATCAACGTGGATAACAGTCACCTGAGCCCCAGTGGGCATGAATCAATTCCACAAAACTATACCTAACTTGGGGAGCCTGTTGAAAATCTTGCATATAGAGGTCAAAAGATTGGGTGATTTGTCCCTGATCTGCCAATTTGCACACAGAAAGCTCCCAAAAACAGCAAATTGATAATGACTAGAGACAATCTGCTTTTGCAATTTGAGTTTGGGGAGATAACTATAGCCAGGCACAAAAGAGAAGTACCCTGTTCTTTTTCAAAACAGTGCTATGGGATTTTACATCTACCTGAGAGAACTGATGCCTCATTTTAGTGTAATGTTTGAAAGACAGCATCTGTGGCAGTATAGTGTTCTTTTGTTCTTATTTTGCAGCCTAGATTTTGTGTGCAAGACTTTGTACTGGGACTTAAAATCACAATCTACTGACAACATTTAAATGACATTTGAATAAGTACATGAATAAGAAATGTTGGAGGGATATGGGCCAAGCGCAGTAGATGGGACTAGTTTAGTTTGGGCACAAAAACAGATGTTGCTGGAAAAGCTCAGCAGGTCTGGCAGCATCTGTGAAGAGAAATCAGAGTTAACATTTCAGGTATAAGATAAGGAGATAAGGAGAAACTTCTTCAGCCAGACAGTGGTGAATCTATGGAATTCACAGCCACAGAAGGCTGTGGAGGCCAGGTCATTGAGTACATTTAAGACTGAGATAGATGGGTTCTTGATTATCGAGGGGATCAAGGGTGACGGGGAGAAAGCAGGAGAATGGGTTGAGGAACTTATCAGCCATGATTGAATGGCGGAGCAGACTCGATGGGCCGAATGGCCTAATTTCTGCTCCTATGTCTTATGGTCTTATGGGTCCAGTGACCCTTCCTCAGAACCAAGGACCCGGACGCAATTCTCTATAGGGCCTTTAGAGAATGAGGCTGAAAAAATAATAATGGGGAAACAGGCAATGGTAGAATGAACAGTTTTGTCCCTTAACTAAGGGAAGATATGCTGGCATTGGTAGCAGTTTACAGAAGGCTCGCTGGGTCGATTCGAGGAGTGATCGAGTTGTACAGGCTTGTACTCATGAGAGGTGAAGTTATTGATATACAGAAGATTCTTAAGGGGCTTGAGAGTGTAAATGCGAAGAGGTTGTTTGTGGGACAGCCTGGATCCAAAGTGCCTAATTTCAGAGTAAGTTATCTCTCATTTAAGAGAGTGTTGAGGAAGATACCTTTTCTTTCAGTGCATAATCAATCTGTGAAATTCCTTCCCCCAGAGAGCTGTTGAAGCTGGGTCATTAAATATGTTGAAGGTGAGACAGACAGAATTTTAATCAGTAAGAGTATCAGGGTTATGAGGAAAAGGCAGGAAAGTGGAATTAAAGATTATCAGATCAGCCATGATCTCATTGAATGTTGGAACAAATTCAGTGGGCCAAATGGCCTATATCTACTTCTACATCTTATGTCTTATGGTCTAAACTCTTTAATTTAGGTAATTTACTTGTGTGCAGATGTGTCTTTCAACAGTTTGATATGTAACCATTTATAAAGCATTTACATTTCTAAGAGAGATCTGCACATGGGTATAACCAACAGTTGAAAAGCATTTTGTGAATCAGATTTGACCCTTCACTTATTTGATAATCTATGACATTATTAAACCTTCATTTCCTGAAGACGAGGTACCACCAGATATTCTCTAATGTCTTGTCCTAAAGACATCCTTAGCAGGGAACCAACAAATCCTTCTAGCAAGACTCCATCAATGCAATTACTACAGCTCCCATTCTAGTACAGCACTCCAGACTAATCTGGAACCTTAAATCAACTCAATACAAGCCAGCACCCTGACCTACTACACATAGACCTAGACTCAGGTGTAGGAGGCAACACTATAAACTTAGAAGATGATAAAAAACATGGACAAGTAGAATATAATGATGACATTGTTGTAGGCTGTATGTTGACATGGACACATGGGATGGTGAAATGCACCCATGCATGGCAGATGGAGTTCAATGTGAAAAAAATCATGTACTTTGAGAGGATTAAAATGGAAAGACAGTATACTATAGGTGTCACAGTTTCGAAAAATTTGTATAATCAGAGACAAATTGATGTCTGTATAAATTTTTTTTAAAGGTGATGCAACAAGCTGGTAAAAAGGTTAAAAACCATGAGGGTATGTGGATTCAGAAGTTTACCAATAGAATATATTAAAAAAGTCATGCTTGATATTTCTACATTACTGATTAGAATTCAGATGGAGTACTCAGGGTAATTCTCAACACTACACATTAGGGAAAATATAAAGAAAGGGGTTACAGGAGGTTCCCCAGAATGTTCACAGAACTAGGGAGCTTCTGTTATGAAGAGAAATTGTGTTCTTGTTTCATGTACTGATACGGATAAAGAATTGGTTGGTAAAAAGAAAACAAAGAATACCAATAGACAGGTCATCCTTTCAAGTGGCTGGCAGTGACCAGTAGCATAAAGTAGGGCTCAGTAATTGGACTCCAGCTATTCACAATATATTAATGATTTAGATAAGGGGGCTAAACCTAAAACCCCCAAGTTTGTAGATGATACAAAAGCTGGATGGGAAAGTGAGCTGTGAAAAGGATGCAGGGATACTTCAGTGTGATTTGGACACATTGAGTGAGTGGGAAAATGCATGGCAGATGAAGTATAATGTGGATAAAATTGAGGTTATGCACTTTGGTAGCAAAACCAATAAGGCAGTTTATTATCTGAATGGTTGTTAGATGAGGAAAAGGGGAGGTGCAACAAGACCTGGAGGACCTTGTACACCAGTCGATATTTCATAGTAAGAGGGTTTGAGTACAGGAGCAGGGATGTTCTGCTGTAATTGTACAGGGGATTTATTGAGACCACACCTGGAGTAATGTGTGCAGTTTTGGTCTCCTTATCTGAGGAAGAATGCTGTAACTATGGAAGAAGTACAACAAAGGTTTACGAGACTGATTCCTAGGATAGCAGCTCTGACATGTGAAGAGATATTGGATTGGTTAAGAGTATATTCATTGGAATTTGGAAGAATGAGGAGAGATCTCATAGAAGCCTATATAATTCTAACAGGTCTAGACAGGCTAAACACAGGAAAGATTTCCTCATGACGCAGGACTCCAGAACTAGCAGCCAGAGTCTGAGGATATGGAGTAGGTCATTTAGGGCTGAGATGATGAGGAATTTCTTCATCCAGACAGTAGTGAGCCTGTCGAATTTTCTGCACCATAAAATGGTTGAAGCCAAAACATTCAATGTATTCAAGGCGTCAGATATAATACTTAATATTAAGGGGATCAAAGGGTATGGGGTGAAAGTGGGAATTCGGGACTGAGTTGGATGATCAACCATGATCATATTGAATGGTGAACAGGCTCGAGAGGCCAAATGACCTACTCCAGCTCCTAGATACTGTGTTTCTGTGAATACATTTGGGCTGTTTTCTTTAGAAAAGTGAAGGTTAAGAGGTGACTCAATAGAAGTTTTCAGGATGATGAGATTTTAATGAATTAAATAGAGAAACGTCTCTGGCCAATGAGTGAGTAACTAGAGGTCATAGGCACTAGATAAAGGTCTAGAGAGATGAAGAGGAGCTTGTTCACTTAGAGCAGTTGGCTCCTGGAATGATGCATCTGGAATTGTGCTGTAGGAGGCTGACTCCATCAATAATTTTGCAAGAGAGCTTGAGGCTGAGAAACTCGCAATGTGGGGATAAGGGATTCATCTCTATTTAATGTTTCTGACAAATGTGATAAGGTTTTGTGGGGGGCGGGGAGGCGGGGAATCCCTATTTTAATAACACAGATTAGCCAAACTTTTTACTTATCACATTTTGAACTGCTTTGCACTCGTCTTCGTGTCCCGGACCAATCGTTAACTCAGAGGGTCCATTGGAATTCAGGTCTCCCTGAAAGTGCACCAACAGGGGAGCTGGGAAAATATCTTGCTTGAAAGAAGTGGGTTTCTACATTTTTGCGTTTACTCTTCGATATAGCTGGAGGAGTTCAGAAAGCAACTGTTTATGGCATAATCACTTTAAGGAACCTAATTTTCTTCCAAGTTCGTAATCACTCCTAATTGGTGATTTAGGAAAATTTCAACATAGCTAAGTGAACCGTTTTATATTGCAGCATTTAGCTGACGCAAATTATTGATGAAATTCATTTCTCATGTAATTAATTTAAAGTGAAATGATCAGGAAACCCTCAGCAACACCACCCATCCCCCTCCCCGTCCCCACAAAAAACTTTGCTGTACAGGTGTATATAAAGGGGTAAACAATGGAGAGCTGTCACATACAAACCGAGGAGAAAGCAGCCAGGAGGAACATATTCAGGTAAAGCTGCCCTCGAACGAAATGTTCACTCAGATTTCCTTGGTCTATTACAGAAGACAGATCGGATTGTCTGGGGAACTGTTCTAACTTGAATCGTTTGGTAACCTTTAAGCTACGACTTTTGTGCAGATAAGATCAGTTAAATTTACCTTGTAAGGTACATTGAATTGCATATTACTGTGCGTCTCCTTTCAAGTGGTATGAACGATCGACTGAAGGGAATGTCAAAGTATTCCATAGACTAAGGGCCAAATTATAATTCCAGTTAATTCTTGTTCCCTTGCAAACTAATTCCCTATGTTGCAAGGCCAACTGGTTGTAGAATAGAATCGAAAAATAGTTAAAACTGTGGTGCGGTAATGTTATTAGTGGATATGACTTTTTTTTCCCTCTCACCACTGTTCAACTTTTCTGTCAAAATCCCAGAGCCTCAGAATGTTAGTAAGTCAGACAGCTAGAAGGTTCTCTCGTTGAGATGGCAGGATGCAGTTCAGAAGAGGAACATAAGACTGAATGCATGAGCTAAATTAGGGCTACTTCTGAGAGGGTGAGGAAAGGATTGATGAAGAGTTTTGAGATTTTTACTGGTACAGATTTAGATCCAGGGACATTCTTTTCCTGAGATGCAAGATTTCAGGACTAAAAATGTGTTTAAAATGAAGTAGAAAGAAAATATGAAATTTATGCAACATTGTATTAATGAGAGAGCACCAAAATGCACTGTGGAATTTACGGCTGGTTCTTATTTGAAAAGAGCAATGAATGATCCCTCTTCAACGAAATTTTTAAAATCCGGTAAGTAAACTGTTGGGAGATTGTGAATTGTAGACTAAATAGGCCAGTGGCATAAACATTGCCGAGTTACTATTTCCGGTGGGTTGAATGGATTTTCTATAAATTATATAAGGAATATTTTAAGTTGTGAGGAAGTATTTCAGAGTTGAAGATACCTGTATTTTTCTCTCTTCCATTCTAGGTTTATTCCAGAAACTGCTGCCCGCAATGATGAAAAGTTTTGCTACTTTTTTTTGCCTGGCCCTTTCAGTTAGCATCTATCAGCCCCCTGTTACTGAAAGCAAGAGGCTACATTTTGGGCAATGTTCATTGACAGTGAACTTACAAGAGATTCGAGATTACTTCTCAGAAATCAAGCACATTATTGTAAGTAAAACACTCAAGAACACCTTCTACTCTTGTATTTGAAAGATATTTGATGTGTATTTGCGATAAAACGCTGTCTACTTCCTTTGACAGCAAGCCGAAGATACCATCACTGACACCAGGCTTCTGACTGAATCCGTTTTTCATGGCATTCAGGTACAACACTCACTGCAGTAAAGGTTTTGTTGGCTAATTTTTTATGCAAATTTAAACATTTTTCATCAGATAATCTTACAATGTAGTTGTAAGAATTATTTAGCTTAAATGATGCTATTTTTAAAAAATACATTTGTTCTCATAGCATATTAATAAGATCTTGATTGTTATTATCATGAAATTCTTCTGTAGTCAATTTTATATGTTCCTATTTTGATTAACAGAACAGGTATTAGAACCACTGTTCTTGTGATAAAGCATCTCCAAGGAATTAGTTAAGCAATGTATATATTCAAATCAAAAAATAATATGCAGTTTATTTTATTGGAAAACAATGTTGTAAATTGACCTATTTATTCACCTATTCCCCTAACCTGGCTGGACCTGCTCTCATTTCCAGGCAGAGGAGAGCTGCTGTTTTCTGCGCCACTTGTTGAGATTCTATGTGGAGACTGTCTTCAAACATCACACTCCATCTAGCTCCCTCATTGAGAGGAGGACCAGTAGCTTGGCCAACTCCTTCCTCAGCATCAAGCGAGATCTTCAGCAATGTGTAAGTATCAAGGACTGGAGCCTTCAAGTATTTGAGATTCTGACTTTATAATAGAGTATCGTCTAGGTCCACATAGAACTGTGTGTATTTCTCAACGCAATGCCCTCCGACATTAGTTGTGTTCTTAGATTTCTCTAAATAGGTGACAGTGTATGAAAAATTTTGCTTCTGTGCTGGTCGAGTACCAGTTATAAAATTAGAAGTTTATATCATTTTTGCGTCAGTCAAAGCACGTTTTGACGCATACTGATGCAAAAGGGATATTGTAACTAAAGCCTGTTACTTTAATCTGGTGCCTAAATACACAGAAGTTGGGAGCTTTGAGGTTTCCTCAATTAGTTTTACTGCACTCCAGTTCAAACCTAGCCCAGTGCAAATTACATTTTTAAAATTTTCAATCAATACACTGTACAAGTTGTGAACAGTATAAACTTAGAATGAAATCTTTTTAATGTAAATTGCAGACCTCAGGATAATTCAGTCTTTTTCTGGTTGGCAAGATGTAACCAATGATATGCCACAGGGTTTGGTCCTCAGGCCTTCAGCTGTACATCTGGTTGCTGAAGTACTGCATTTGGGTTCACGCCTTTGATGCTGGGTTCATTCATATTCATTGGGTCGTTTAGCATATCTGGCTTTTATTTTACAAGTGCTCACCAGGTATGAAATGAGCTAATGATATACCTGCCAAGCTCCGGAGTTGTGAATGATGGAGAGCGAGGCGTGCAGAGTTTAGTACCATTCCGCTCGGACTGCTGGCTTGGCGATATCTGACCGATCTCGCAGCAGGAGCGGAAGCTGCTCACGGAGTATTGACTGGGCGAGCTGAGCTGCTTTCCCTTTTGCAGGCATTTGATGAGGTTACCTTGGGGAAAGTCTCCTCTCTGGCCGTGGCATAGCCAGCAATATGAGATGATTGGTTCCAGCTGCCTTTCACCTTTTTAAAAACCTCAATGATCGTTAGACAATGTTGAAATACATCGAACCACCCAGGCTACGAATTTTCTGATGAGTTTGCTGCTGACTGTATTTTGAAGGGGAAGTGTGAACAGTGAAAGGGTGATGGAGTGTGTTTAGTGGGAGGGTGAAACCTGGCGCCTGCAAACTGAGGGTTACTCCTCCGCCTCCCGGGAAGGCTGTGTTGCGTGAGAAAGCGAGACGAACGTCAGCCTCTCTGCTCCTATGATGCTGCTTGGCCTGCTGTGTTCATCCAGCCCTGCACCTATCTATATTATTGATTTGGAAGAGAGGATAGAAAGTACTATACCCACATTTGCAGATGACATTAAAACAGGTGAGTTGTAATGAAGTTAGAAATGTACAAATGGATATGGATGGGTTAGGTGAATGGGCAAAAGTTTGGCAGGTGATTTTTTTTTAGCATTGGTAAGTGTGAGGATATCCATGTTGGTTAGAGGAATAGAAAGACAACTTATTATCTAAATGGAGAGAAACTTCAGAGTGCTTCAGTGCAGAGAGATCTGGGTGCCCTCCGGCATGAATTGCAGAATACAAATATGCAGCTACGGGAGGTAACAAGAAGGCAAATGGAATTTTTGCATTTATTGATAAATAAATAGAGTAAGAAGTAGGGATGTGTTGCTGCAACTGTACAATAATTAGTGTGACCACACCTGGAGTATTGTATAGAATTTAAATCCCCTGACTTAAAGAGGGGTGCAGTTGCATTTGAGACATTTCAGACCAAGTTCACTAGCTTGATTCCAGAGATGACTAGTTTGTCGTATGAAGAGAGATTGAACACTTTCAGCCTATACTGTCTGGAGTTTAGAAGAATGAAGGGAGATGTCATTGAGGTATATGAGACACTGAAGGGGATTGACAAAGTAGATGTAGAATGGATGTTTCCTCATGTGGAGCAATCTGAAATGAGAGGTCATTGTTTAAGGATAGAAGATAGCAGATTTAAAACAGATGAGGAGAAATTATTTCTCTCAAAGGTCGTGAATTTGTGAAATTCACTGCCCCACAGTGCAGCAGAGTCTGAGAGTTTGAGAAATTTAAGGAGGAGACAGACAAATTTTAATCAGTAATGGGTTGAAGGATTATAGAGAGTGGGCAGGAAAATGGAGTTGAGACCAAGATGAGATAAGTCATGATCGTATCAAATGACAGCTGAGGGGCTGAATTGCCTACTCCTGCTCCTAGTTCTTACATTCTTTTATGGAATTATTAGTCTTTGTTTGTTCCAGCATAACATTAGCTGTCAGGCTTGAAGGGATCACTAGACTTCACAAATGGTGTCTTTGTCACTGAGCTCATTGCGATCTGCTGTGAGGTATATCTGAATGTACAATTCAATCTATTGGCTGTGCACAGCATTATTCAGGCATTGATCTGAGAGCAGTTTGTACAGGATAATAGCAGCCTTTAGTAATACCAGGACGGTAGTATGAACCATATCAGTTCATAATGACGTGCTATGAACTAGGTATATTACCGTCTCCTTTACTGCGTATAACAATACAATAAGTACAATGATTTGAGAAGTCATTTCTGACTTGCCTACATCCAACAATTAAACTCATTTTACAAGGTGTGTTGTGCGGCATTCCTGACTGGTGATAAAACACTATAAAATTGCAAACCATTGATGTTCTAGATAATGTAGATATTAAAAAATCTGTTTATGTGCCTGTAATGCTTGTGATCAATTGCATGTTTACTTAAAGGACTGTTAAATAGCAAACAAGTAACAAGCAATATATCAGTCATAATTAGAAGTGATTAATACACATGTTCATTTAACAATTACTATCTATATATTCAAAATGGTCATTTGGACACTGGAGTGTTAGATTCCATCTCTTTTTTTTCTATCGGATAGAGTATGCAATTCAAATGCCACTGTGGAGAAGAATCCAAAGTCAGGATGCAGGAAATACACAATGCTTTTGAAAATGTAAGTTGACATGCTTCCCACTTCACTTCTATAAAGTTAGGTAGGATAGAGAGTCATAGACCACAAAAGACCATGGGAATCTCTCTCCATTAGAGACAGAGAGAGGGAGCCAATTGGTTATGCATAGCTTGAGAGTAGTTACTCCACAGTGTGAGGTTAGGTGAGGAGGCTGGTATCCACAAGAAGTATCACAACTAGTATGGGAATTGAACCCAAGCTTTAGGTTTTATTCTGCACCACACATCACTTAGACTCATACAGCCATAGAGATGTAAAGCACGGAAACATCCAACGTGTCCATGCTGACCAGATATCCTAAATTAATCTAGTCCCATTTGCCAGCATTTGGCCCATATCTCTCCAAACCCTTCCTATTCATATACCCATCCAGATGCCTTTTAAATGTTGTAATTGTACCAGCTTCCACCATTTGTAGGGGAGGTGATGGCCTAGTGGTATTATCATTGGACTGTTAATTCAGAGATCCAGATAAGATTCTGGGGACCCGGATTCAAATACCGCCACGGCAGATGTTGGAATTTGAATTCAATAAAATATCTGCAATTAAGAATCTAATGATGACTATGAATCCATTGTTGTGGAAAAACCCATCTGGTTAACTAACGTCCTTTAGGGAAGGAAACTGCCAACCTTGCCTGGTCTGGCCTAAATGTAATTTCAGATCCACAGCAATGTGGTTGACACTGAACTGCCCTCTGGGCAATTAGGGATGGGCAATAAATGCTGCTTAGCCAGCGCCACCTTCATCCTGTTAATAAATAAAGGAAAAAAAAACTTCCTGTAGCAGTTCATTCTATACATGCACCACCCTCTGCATGAAAAAGTCACCCTTAGATCCCTTTTAAATCTTTCCCCTCTCACTTTAAACCTATGCCCCCTAGTTCAGGACTCCCCTACCCTGGGGAAAAGACCTTGACTATTCACCCTATTCATGCCCCTCATGGTTTTATAAACCTCTATAAGGTTACCCCTCAGCCTCCGGCACTCCAGAGAAAATAACCCAAGCCTATTCAGCCCCTCCCTATGGCTCAAACCCTGCAACCCTGGCAACGTCCTTGTAAATTCTTTCTGAACCCTTTCAGGTTTAACAACATCCTTCTTTAAGAGTGAAATCTTTAAGAATGAATGTAACCCTCTGTGTTACACTCATAATTGCACCAAGAATTCTTCAATGAACAAAATCTGGAGTAAAAATCATCCTTGACATCAATAGAGAACAAACGGGGAAGTACAAATTCTAAATGGTAAACCCAAGGTGAAAGTAATTTGCCCTCGTTCAGCATAGTCTGTCTATTGTCCTTTGAGATTGATGGACAGCTAGACTTCATATGTGTATGCACTTCAGAGAAGCTTGGAGAAAGGGCTATGAAAATAGAAAGTTACCTGTAACAAATCCTGAAAACAACATACATTGAACCAAGGCTTGTATCCATGTTAAGTTATGCTTCTAGTGCTGGGAAAAGCAAGGGTAGATCCTGACAAAAGAGGAGACATCAAAGAAAATAATAGTCCCTTCCTAATCTTTATTATCTCTGACCTCATGCCATTTATTATTAATTAATATATCTCTGCCTTTCTTCAGTTGGATCTTAATGTTGCTGCTGTAAAAGCCATTGGTGAAGTGGATTTTCTCATCCATTGGATGGCACTGTCTCACCAGGACTAAGCACTATCTCTGAGTACAGCACAAAGAATGTGATAATACAAGATGGTACCAAGAAATGTAATACTTGGATAAGGGATGAGTACCTAAGATCTTCACATTTCCACCTTCGCTATAAATCTTTCAGTTCTAGCACTTTACCTATTATACCAGTGACCACTATTTAGTTTGATATTATGCTGAATTCTGTTATATTGTGACTGACTGATTGTTATCTGTGCAGGAAGTCTCCTCTTAGAGAACTGCCAGCCAATCAGATTGGCTGTCAGCTCTGTAGTCTCAGTAGTTCCAGGAATGAGCAGTGGCCCTGCTGGGACTTCAGGCAGTCCCCAAAAACGAACAAATGCTGGTATCACCAGGACTAGGCTGGATTGGAAGTGGGGTGGGGGAAACCAGGATGGAGAAGCTGGGGAATGGGTTAAAAGGGGTATGATCTTGGAGAGACATTTCAAGGAAGTGCCTTGCCCTCTTGCCCTACACCAGCCAACACCATAAAAGTTGCTCGGCTACCTGCTTGGCGTGGGTTCCCCCATTTTGTTGATAAAATAGCGTTGGAGGCTGGGTGAGGCATTTAAGGGCCTCAATAAATCAGGGACTAGCAGGTTACCTAGCACCTCCATGATCCCCTGTAAAATGGAGACAGACCATGGTGAGGTAGGTAGCTAGTACTCTCCTGTGTGTTCAAACATGCTTGTGTGGGAGTGTAAGTTCTAGCCCATAATCTAGGCTAGCTTTACTATGCAGTACAACAGGAATGCTGCCCTCTTGGAGGTGCTTTATGCCTTTTTAGATAGCCCTTAAAGGTCTTACGGTAATATTTGAAAAGAGCAGGTGAATTCTGGTGACCAACCTTACCAGCCCAACATTAATTCCTTCAAATATTATTAGTAAAAGCAAATGGTCTGGTTGCTTATGTCATTGTTGCTCATGGGACCAAAATGTATGAAATTTGATTGTTACATTTCTCATTATTCTGTGATTACTCTTCAAGTACTTTCTGGCTGTGAAATATTCTAGGACATCCCTAGGTCTTGAAAGACGCTATATAGGTGTGAGTTCTTTTCTTTCTGAAGATAATCATAATTAATTTTGTTAGATGAAATTTAAATCCTTAATTTTGTGTGTATCTATGGAAATATATTTTGAAAATTTAGTAAGCACAACTACTAATATTGGTAAATATTTCCAGGAAATGCAGTTTTTGAAGTATTTATGTTTGATATTACTAAATTATCATTTGTAGTCTATTTATTGAAATAAAAAATCTGTGAAATAAATACTGTTTGCTTTTGCTCTGAGTTTTATTTAAAAAGGGGAAAACTACAATTTTAATGATTAATATGATGTCTACCGTGACAAACCAATGAGCTTTAACTAAATAGAGATAGTAGGAACTGCCGATGCTGGAGAATCTGAGATAACAAGGTGTAGAGCTGGATGAACATAGCAGGCCAAGCAGCATCAGAGGAGCAAGAAAGCTGATGTTTCGGGTCAAGACCCTTCAGCAGGAAAGCTGACGTTTCGGGTCGTACCCGAAACGTCAGCTTTCCTGCTCCTCTGATGTTGCTTGGCCTGCTGTGTTCATCCAGCTCTACGCCTTGTAAAATCAGCTTTAATTAAATGTTGGGCCAACAGATAACATAGCCTTCGGGAGCTTGCACTTTTACTTTACTGAGAAGCATGACACAACTTGCAGAATTTTCAGAACAGGTAACCCTGGCTGATCCTGGAAATGAACCACTATTAAAGCTTACAGTGAAAACGCCTCACACTTCAAATTATTTTAATTCTTTGTGTGGTACTCGTTAATATGACATTAATTATATATCCCATTAGCATATTAATACGGATCAGTCGTGATTTTCATGATTCTTAGCTGCATAAGTAAAATTCAAGAAAGAGCTGAGTATATTTGATCTTCAGTCTATTTCGATATATTTCTGCCTTTAGGCTAAATTTTGTGTGCTTACCTTGGATTGCTTGGTGTGAATCACACCATGAAGTAGCAAATGGCAGAATGTAAAAAGTTTAAAAAACTGACAGGCCAAGAGAAAAATAGAACATGCTCAGCAGGTCTGTCAGTCTCTGTAAAGTAATAATGTTAATGTTTGAAGCAGCCCTTCATTATAGTAGGAGAAATTACAAGCTTGAACCCATTTAAAATATGCAGGTCAAAATCCGAAAAAAATTTTACAAAGAGAGGAAAAACTGGAGTGGTTTGTGAAATGCCCAAGAGGAAAGTAAATGCAACCTTAACATTCATTTCAAGAGAGCTAGAATACAAAAGCAGAAATGTACTGCTGAAACTCTGGTCAGACCGCATTTGGAATATTGTGGGCAGTTTAAAAATTTTAAATGGTTATTGGGATGTCGGTGTCAATATTTAATGCTCTTTTCATGTTGTGCTAAGAAAGTATTCTAATTGAATGATTTATGCAGTTTAGAGGGCATTTATTGAAATAGTATTCATAGATGCTAATAAGGAGAATACTGAAACAAAGAGATTTAAAAAGCCACAGAGAATAAATTACAGATTTTTGTGATAGTGGTGATGGGAGGAGGGTGTGTGCTTGGACTGCAGGCAAGTCTGAAGTAGAAACGGGAGGAACTATCAAAAGATTATGTAATAGGGAATAACTAAGAATGTTCCAGACAAGGAGGAAAAAGGAAATTAAATCTCCTTATTTATTAATAAAGGAAGTTGCTTGGTGCTTCCCAACATTTACTATTCTGGTTGATTCATTTTCAACTTAAAGATTTTCCACTACATTAATTTGTTTAGTTCTGTATTGTTCGATGCAATGACATCATTGCAGGGATTATATCTACACAGTGATTTTAAAATTTTTAATTCATTTGCTTAAGAATGATCGTAAAATCATTGCAATCGTTGCAAATGCTAATGGATCATATTTGATTCATGAGTGGGGCATGGCAACCTGCATCATCACAAAGAGGAATTCCCAGGCAATAAACCATTTGTCAATCCTTTGTTTTATACCCGGAAGTGCTATCACACACAACTGAGCGACTTTCCCACCACCAAAAATCACTATGACTTTTTCTCGTTTTCCTTTCGAAACACTAACCGCCACCGGTCCAAAATTGCCCACAATATTCCAAATGCTGTCTGACCAGAGTTTCAGCAGTACATTTCTGCTTTTGTATTCTCGCCCTCTTAAGATGAATGTTAAGATTGCATTTACCTTCCTAACTGGCAACTGAACTTGCATGTTAACGTTAAGAAAATGCTGAACTAGGACTCCTAAGTCCCTTTGTACTTCAGATTCCCAATGCCTTTCCCCATTGAGAAAATAGTCTATGCCTCTGTTCTTCCTATAAAAGTACATAACTTCACACTTTCTCACATTGTATTTTATCTGCCACTTTTATGCCCACTCCCCTACCCTGCCCAAGCCCTTCTGCAGCCTCCTCACTTCCTCAACACAACCTGCCTCTCCACATATCTTTGTGGCATCTGCAAATTTAACAACAATGCTCTCAACTCCTTAACCTAGATCATCAATTTATAAAGTGAATAGTTGTGGCCCCAACACAGGCCCCTGCAGATTGCCCTTAGTCATCGGCTGCCATCCTGAAAAAGACCCATTTGTCCCCGTTCTCTGCCTTCTGCCAGTCAGCCCATCCCCAATTTATGCCAGTATCTTGCCCCTAACGATATGGGCTCATCTTATTTAGCAGCCTTCTGTGCAACCTTGTCAAAGGCCTTTTGGAATTTCAAATAGATCGTGTCCACTGGCTTTCCTTTGTCTAACTTGCTTGTTACATCCTCAAAAGAATTCTAACAGATTTGTCAGGCATGATCGCCCTTGATGAAACTGTGCTGACTCAACCCTATTTTACCATGCATTTCCAACAATTCCACAATTCCTTAATAATAGACTCTAAAACCTTACCAATGATTTAGGTCAGGCTAACTGACATATAATTTCCCAACTTCAGCCTCCTCCCCTTTGTAAACAGGGGTGTTACAGCAACCATCTTCCAGTCCTCTAGGACTTTCTCTGACTCCAGTGGTTCCTGAAAGATCACGACCAATACCTCTCAATCTCCTCAGCTTTCTCCTTCAGAATTCTGGGATGTAGTCCATCTGGTCTGGGTGATTTATTCACCTTCACATTTTTCATCGTTTCCAGCAGCTTTTCCTTAGTGATGATTACCACACTCACCTCTGCCCGCTGACTATCCTGAAGTTCTGGTGACTTGCCTGTGACTTTCACCATGAAAGCTCATGCAAAGTACCTATTCAGGCTGTCCACCATTTCTTTGCTTCCCATTTCTACCTCTTCAGCCCCATTTCCAATGTCCACTCTTTCCTCTCTCCTTTTTAGATATCTAAAGAACTCTTGCAATCTTCTTTAATATTACTAGCTTGCTTATTCTTATATTTCATCTTGTCCCCCATTACTGTTTTTTAGTTATCCTCTGCCGGTTTTTAAAGGCCTCCAAATCCTCTGGCTTCCCACTGATCTTCACCACATTGTATGCTTTTGCTTTTGCTTTTACTCTATCACAATTTCCCTTGTCAGCTATGGTTGCCTCGTCCTCGCCTTAGCATGTTTCTTCTTCCTTGGGATGAATTTCTGCTGCACTTCCCGCATTACCCCAGAAGCTCCTGCCATTGCTGCTCCTCCACCTTCCTTGCTAGGCTCCTCTTCCAATCAACTCCGGCCATCTCTTCCCTCACGTCTTTGTAGTTACCTTTACTCAGTTGTAATACCGTTACATCTGATTCTAGCCTCACCCTCTCAAGTTGCATGGTTAATTCTATCATATTATGGTCGTTGACCCCTGGGGTTCCCTTCACCTTAAGCTCCCTAATCAAATCTTTCTCATTACACATCACCAAATCAAGAATTGCCTGTTCCTCCGTGGGCTCTACCAGAAGCTGCTCCAAAAAAAATCTCATAGACATTCTATGCATTCCTTTTCTCTTGATCCACTTTCACCTGATTCTTCCAGCCCACCTACGTATTGAAGTCCCACATGATTATTGTAATAGTGCCTTTCTTACATGGCTTTTCTATCTCCTGATTTATTTTCTTCCCCACTTCCTGACTACTGCTAGGTGGTCTGTACACAACTCCCATCAGGGATATTTTTCCTTTGTGAATCCTCAACTCTACCTATACAAATTCTACGCTGCC